AGTTTGAAGTCTGGTATATTATTGATTAAGCCATTTACTATTTGTTCAAATGAAAAACTGAGTTCCTTTTTGCATTCCTTACTGTTATGTAGTGCCTTATTTTAAGCTTTCTTTGTCTCTCAGTCAGCTGTATTGGATGTCTATGTGTGCAAATCTGTCTAATTTCTACTGATCTTGTTGACCTTGAAAAGGTCAGACCACTTACTTTTGTTTGTCACCATCAAAAATTTAATTACATATTAATTATCTCTGAAGGTTTATTAATTGATTTTACTTCAGTATTCATCATTAACTGACAGTAGTTGGAAGAACATTGGGAACCTGGAAGCATAGGATAGCTGTTTTTTTCTAGTACGGATCTCCTGAGCAGTGTGCACCCATGACCCCATCCCATCATGGGTCGAACCCAAGACCTTCAGATTATGTGGCCAGTACATCAGCATTCAGCCACTGTATCGGAATTCAATGCTTCATATTTCCTACTTCTGATGAACTGTTAACCTAAAATCAATTGATAAACCTCCAAAGACATCCAGATTGAATTAATCTGTTGCTTATTGGTGACAAGCTTCTTTAGGTGATTCCTGAAGTCCCAATGAGAAAACGTGACTAAAGGAGTCAACCAAGTCGGAGATGTGGACAGTTACTAAACGACAGTAGTCAATGGAGGTCATATTATACCGTGAACAGATAGAAGTAGGAAATATGGACCAGTGGATTCCGACCGAGTGGCTGAATAGTAAAGTGCTGGTCACAGAACATGAAGGTTGTAGGTTCAATCCTTGGCGGGGTGGGGTCATGGATAAGCACTCCTGAGGAGTCCCGTGCCGGGAAGAAACATCTATCCAGTGCTCCCAGTTTTCCAATGTTCCTCCAATGGATGTTAGTCCATGAAGAATTCCAACCTAAAATTAATTCCGTATTAGATTAGACTGTTTTAGATAGTACACAGTAATAAAGTTTCATTTGCTAGATGACATTTTAAGCAGAATCTATACCTTACAATCATAGTTAAGTAATCAAACAACCTATCGGTTTGGCTTTCCTTGTAGTTCCACTTTTCTTCTCATTTTTTAGGAATTTAATTGTTAATAAGATATTCAACACATCCAGAATTCGTGTTGCATAATTTCTATTACTTGTGTTAAGCGTTGGATTGATGAACAGAGATTCAGTAATCAATCTCTATCTCTCCATTTAAAAAACGTTAGTCTTTAAGAATGAAATCCTGTTCCACTGTATCGTTTTATTGTTTGCTATCACATGAATACCTACGGTTCATTTCTTGTCTAGATTACTCATCTTAGTAAGGTCTATCAATCTAAATAGACTTAGCGGAGTTCCATGTTCTGTTAACCTGACTGATCCCTGCTCGACTACTTTGACCCATTTATGTACTTGACCTCACATCATTGTACGGTGTTTAGTAAATTAAATTAATCTCTCTTATTAGATCAGTATATAGTGAAGGCAATAGTAGGATACCGTTACCTACTATCACGGATGATCTTCCTGATTGTGGTTGACTAGACGAGTTCATGCAACAAACTGCTAGCAGTGAGAAGATGGACATACGCTAACTGGACCGTTGTAAAGATCCAAGAAGAAGGTTTGGACTTCACTGGTGATTATAATGATTTATGTCTAATGTCGTGCACAAACTTGAAGATCTACAGGCGAAAACTGAGAAGTTGGCAGGAAAGACGAAGCGAGTCGAGGCAGCGAAGGTGGATGGGACTTAAGGTGAACATAGAGAAAGAAGATAGAGGTGATGTGATGAAGATACCCAACCGACAACAACAGCGATCACCATGAATGGGAGAAACATAAATGAAGTTATCTCTTACATCTACCACCTAGACAGGCAACATCGTCTCAACTTCAGGCGACAGCGAAGGCGGCACAGATGAGGATGTCAAAGCCACAATCGGAATGACAGCAAAACAGGCCTTCATTTGTCTGAAGTGATCAGTATGGAGATCTACTGCACTGCACTGCACTGCACTGCACTGCACTGCACTGCACTGTACTCAGCATAAAGCGTGAACAACATCTGGATTTTCAACACTAATCTCAGTCAAGTCACTGCTTCTATATTATATAATTGAGAGACTAAGCGCGTTCCGGAAAACATTTCCAACAATCTACAAACATATATCACATCAGCAGCTGCCGCATACGCTCACTCCATACTGACACTGATGATCGGTCAGATGGCCAGAATAATAAGAATAAGCAAGAAGGAAGAAGGAACACTGGTCTGACAACGAACCACCCAACCAACCAACAACCGATCACCCAACAAATATGTATAAGGAAGTGGAGATAGATCGAGCATACACTGGGAAGGCCGTTTTGTGAGAGCACGCGCCCGGTCAGGCCAAGCCATGTCTTCGATTGGAACGTAAAGGGGAGATGAGGAGTTGAGCGTGTAAGGGTGACGTGAAGATGGTGTAGATTAAATTCGTGTGTATGTGAGCTTGCAGTTTTGACTATCACCTAAATTCCAGCCATGTTGATAATTGTATGTAGGTTTTTTCACTTCCGTTGTGTATTTCTCAATGCAATTTGAAGAATGATTGGCGGGAAGTAAAGCTACTTTACATTGGTTTTCTTCTGACTATTTAAGTTTTTGTCTTACTGGAAAGATTCCTAGCTCGAATACTTGAAGATTTAGCTGAAATTACTTCCACTGATGTCGGGTGACTGAAGTTTACTTATCTTGAGATGATGACGAATATTTGTAGCTCAGTAAAATAATTTTGATGAGGTTGAATTTTTTGAGATGGATTGTTTAATTGTAGAGATTTCGTTGTCATTTTGGACAACATCATTGGCACAAACTTTAGAAAGAAGTGAGCTGTATAGTTTTCTCCACAATTTATTTAGTAGCTTTTCGTGATGGCCTTGTGTGTGATTGGTTGTTTCGGCCAAAGTCTTATGACTGTTTCCATATTTATTTTGATTGGCTTTCGAGATCATGTGAAATTTTAGCTTCTTGTTGTTTTTTATTTGTTGATAGATTGATTTAATGTCGGTATATTTTTGGATTACTGATTGATCTGAATAACAAGCTTCTAAATATTCACTGGGATTCTTTGTATTCCCAAGAGGTGATTCTCCAAAAGAGAAAAGTTATACTTTCTCCATGAGTGTCTTACCCACCATCTTTTACCAACTGGTATCAGATACAAATTACCTATCCTCTGTATAAAGAAAGGGCTAGTCATTCACAGTGACCTTGAAGTGGCCAATCAGAAGAAAGTGAGCTGGTTGACTAATCTCAGTAGGCTGAAAATAAAGAACTTCTCAGTTTTCCTCTTTTATAGAAAGGCATGCGATTTTTGCGTTGATATGAAGATTGACGATAGCAATAAATGTAATTTGTAACCAGAGAGTTAAGTAAAGTTAAGATTAGGCTTAAGAGCATTCAAGTCGAATTTCAAAGGTTACAATTTACCTCTTGAGTTTTCATTGACTAGGGGTTTTAGTCACTTAATAGCGCTTCGCCATTTTCTGACTTAAACAGAGCCTCAAATCTGTTGAAAATTAAATATTATGGTTTAGGAAGTTGGATTTAAGGCTATAGTTTGGCATTATAGTGGACTATTCATTCATAAGCCATATATATTAATTTTTTTATCCCTGAATCTCTTGGCCTCATATAACAGGAAATAACGTGGAAAGTTTTACATACTCGAAGTTAACGTGAAATTATCGTACACAGCAAATGAATATTTAAATATCATGAGACAGATTTCTACTGGTTAAATATTTCAAGGTCACTCAAAACATTTAGCGACTCTTTCAAAACCCACGCTTAATCAACTGAATCACCTTATGACTGAATGAAAACAAAAAGAATTATTAAAATTGAAAAAAATATTTCCATCCATAACATTAGAAGATTTGGAGTGTAAAGTTTTCTGTCGTTTTTCTTGGATTATTGTTCGTAACGAGAATACAAAGTTATTTGTGTTATTATTATGATTGTTTTTCTTTCCTGTCGGTAAGGTCAACAAATAATCCGCCCTGTTCATTGAAAATTGAACACTGAAGAGTATAATATTCAAACTTTAGTATAATGAAAATTGTCACTGTTGAAATTATGATTATGATATTGATGAGAAAGGCAAATAAAATAGGGAATAGTAAATTAGTTTTTTTTTTATCAAAAGAGATGATGTTTCTTTTTGTTAACTAATCCAATATCAAGTGTACTTTTTAGTAAATTGATAAAGTTAAGGAGAACAAGTTAATTGAATAGGAAAGAAATTGGAGATTGAATTTCTATTCGAAAGTGAGAAATGTATGAAAAGTGAAGCTGACATCAATGGAATGAATAGTGAGTTGTTGTCTATCAGTTCTTTGTTATTTCGTTTCATTTGTACAGCATCGTGTGTGTGTGTGTGTGTATGTGACTGGGAATGATTCTAAGGCCATTTCTCTTTTTATTCAACTTATATTTACTCTACAATGATCATCATACTGTTTGTAACGATATAAGAGGTCAAGGATATCGGGTGACATTATTTATTCATATCATTATTTTACCTTTGTTAAGTATCTAAACTTTAGCAGTAATATGGCATAGATAGCTCACATTGTTCAATTTTCAATAGATATTGTTTTCAATGAAAAGAAAAGATTACCAAATAAACTAATCACCGTCAACAAGTAAACTTGACCATGCTCATTAAAGGTGTATTTCTATGATGAATGAAATCAACAAAATATATTTATATGTACGCAATTATTATGAGGCTAAGGGAAGCAAATAGAAGAGGCTATAGACTGATTTTCATCATTATCCCTAGTAATAGTAGTATTATGAGTAGTAGTGCAAGTAGTGCAAGTAGTAGTAGTAGTATTCTTGATAATCAGTTATAAAGTATCCCGAAAAACACGATAAACCAAATAATTATAAGTTATGAAAGAATTTGTTAAATGCCATTGAATAATCTTTTCTTTCGATTACTCCAGAATAATTTCACATATTCTTAGCTTGTTGAGATGTTAACAGAAACCTTAAAAAAAAAGATAAAAATAAATAGTGAAAAAACAAATTAGACAGAGGCTAGATAACTTCTGTTAAGAGTCAGTTTCAATCAGAAAACTATTTAACATTAATTAGCTATGGGTTTTTTATTTCTTTCTTTCTTTGAGGACACTCTTGAGTGATGTGGAAACGGAGATTATGATATAACTGTCAAGTACTTTATTGTTTTCTATTATTCTCTGTTTAACATTGATTTATAATGAATACTTTGATATGAAACATTTTTAATTGTATACATTAAACAAGTAAGTATCATTCATCAATGTATTGAGCATTGAATAGATTCATTTATGAATCTTCGATAAGAAGATATGACTACATGTTATTTAAAGTTTAAAGTTTCCAACTGACTGTTTTTACTTTATTTTTAATACAGAATCATATTTTCAAATAGTAAGACATATTAGGTATATTAAAGTCATAGTAGAAACATTTCAGTCATTACTTAAGATAACAGTCACCAACACTTGTATAACATTCTATTTGAAAGAAGAAAATGAAGTAATAATTCAGTAAAAGAAATTTTACTTTTTCAGACAATAAAATTTCCTAAAAATTAAATTTTTCTCAATTTCTTATTAAAATAGAGATCAGATGGCTGGTTCTTTTCAAAGATCAATTTATTGGAAGTTAACATGATATTCATCGGAAAAGCAAGACAGGCGTTCATTAGCCTGAAACCAGTGTGGAGATCTTCTGCACTCAGCATCTGGAACAAGATACGGATTTTCAACACCAACGTCAAGTCAGTGCTCTTGTATGGCTCAGAGACTTGGCGCGTCACGAAAGGCATTTCCAATAAACTACAGACATTCATCAACAACTGCTTACGCTCGCTGCTGAAGATCAGATGGCCAGAAAAAAATAAGCAACAAGGAACTCTGGGAACGAACCAACCAAGAACCTATCACGCAACAAATATGCAGGAAGAAGTGGAGATGGATTGGCCATGCACTGAGAAGGCCGACGGAGGACATCACGCGTCAGGCCCTCGAGTGGAATCCCCATGGGAAGCGACGAGTTGGACGTCCGAGGGTGACATGGAGGAGGTCATGAGAGGAGGAAATGAGAGCTTCTGGGCTGTCGTGGAACCAGGTTCAAAAGATCTCCGAGAACAGAGGTCACTGGAGGCGTGCTACTGAAGCCCTATGTTCCACTAGGAACCCAAGGGACTAATAATATAATAATAATAATAACATGATATTCATAGTACTTGAATTTCTATAGTTGGATACCTCACAGAAGAATTAGAATAATCTGGATCAGGGATATTGTCGACAATAAAATTAGACAAATTCATGCAAAGTAGGGTAGTTGAAATTGAAACAGAATATAGTGGAAGTATTCAAATCTTCAAAGAAGATTTTGTTTATGAATGTTAGTTTCAGTGGAGATAAGACAGGAGAGATCCTCAGGAATTGGTAGTCTAAATTGTTGAAAAAGATATTCTTCTCTGCGAAGCTACAAATCAGCTTCTTTAGTCAGCAGTTAGCTTCAAGATATGTTAGGGATTAGTTGCCGCCTTTGGGCACCTCAATGTAAGCCTACAAATTTGCTTGTTCCTTTGGAACTAGATAGTTATATAAGCCACAGAATGCAAGAACTTTCAGATAGTATCTGTGAGCATTAACTTGCATGACTGTCAACCGGAGAATGTAAACCAAGTAACAGTTTAATTCTTGAACTTATACTCAATTCTAGGCAATACAACAATCCAACAGAATCCTCTTTCAGTGTCATTTACAGAGTCGAATGAAACACTTCAAAAGGAGTACGCTTTCAACAGTTTGTGTATAGCAGAAGCACTGGCAATCCACCAATTCAAGCTTGATTTATTTCTGAGGGCAGAAGTAGTTTGTCCAGTCTCTTTTCTTACTACGGTCCTAAAACTTTCTTAATATTTTGAGTTCAGTATGATTAGTTAATTTATCATTATCACCTTCTGTTTAACCCTTTTCTCTTTCTTCATCATCTGTACATCTCTCAAGTAGACATTCAACCACTTTGTATTTTGAATCTACTAACAATTTTCACCTTATTTGAAAAGTACCCTGATCAAAACATAAAAGAAGAATAAGTAACTATTTCAGTGAAGATTCCCCTTTCGGCGATTTCATTCTCAAAGCTCTACAATCCCAAATTTATACATTTTTTCTAATGTAAGGATTTCATACTTAAAAACGGTTTGTCAAGCATAGCATGGCAGGGTAACAGAAATAGTGTCAATCATGTGAGCTATCAAAAAACTATGATGAATAGTGAATATTCATGAAAATGAGTAATATGATGACATAAGTGGAAAGTTAATCGTGATCAAACGGAGTATAGTAACAAGGATGAGCAGTAAATTACTTCAGAATTGAATGGTGTCAGACGAAGAAACGAAAAGCAAACGTAGGAGCAGGAGGAGGACGGGGAGAAGGAGGAGGTAGAGAAGATTGAACAACCTTCTTTTGTGTACATAGTCCACATAGATGGCAAGAGCTTCGGTGATGCAGAGAATACGAAGACATACAGTCTTTTCAAGGTTTTTTTTCAATTTATAGATGACTTTAAAGCAGGAAATTCTTGTGATAAGGTGATTCCTGTTCATGATATGTTCAATTATAGTAATCGTTATCGCTCCATTGTTACTTCTTCGTAACCATGTGGGGTAAGTGCTGTTGAACCCTTCTGGATAACAGTCCATCCATCCATCCAAATCAACTTAAAACCAGGAATTACTAAGTGATAGTCCAACTCCCTACCACACCTCAGATCACTACATCAAGTTAAAAGGCAGTCACGTGGGAGATGAATATAAAAAAAATTCAGTCCAAAGAAATATCATGTAAGAACACAGAGAGAGAGAGACAGTGAGAGAGAAAGAATGAGAAAGTTGTGAGATTCGGTATGGCATAGTTAAGATGAGGATAGATAGTATGTGCATACATCTGCCCTCAACTGACATCGGTTCTCAGCCATGCCATCAAATAAAGTCAGTCTTCAACCACTCACTGATTCCTCTTGTCCCACCAACCCCGAACACCCAATCTGCATAACCCCACATGGCTCAAACTAACGGTCAACTACTTCATATACTGATGCCACGTTTTAGTCTCCACGACAGCCTCGACTCTTCTTCCAGTCTGAACCTTCTTCAGACAACATTTTGTGAAGAGGCAGATGATGACTAGGCATACGTAACACATGTCGGAGCCAACCAACTCAGTCGATGAAGGTTCACAACCATGTCATCTTATTCACCTCTTCTCCGTAAAACTCTTCGCCTTAGCCTGACTTCAGCGTTACTCACGTGATGTGGTGACACCACGGAATACCGCCTATACTATGAAGGCAACGGTGGTCAACACCTGAAGCCTTCTTATGTCTTCCACCTTGAATGACCATGTTTTGCAAGCATAGAGTAGAACAGAGTGGAATGCTGTGCAGTGCACGTGACGTACAATAGACAATCGGATATCACAGTGGCGCCGTAGGTGGTGTAAGTTGGGGCACCGTTGAAAACCAATGCTGGAGCAACAATTTGCATTTGGGTGTTGAGAAACGCATCCCAAACGTTCTCAAATTGCCACTCAAAGTCATCAGAAGACTTCATTTAACAGGACCATGTCATCCGCGTATTCTGGGTCTAAGGAAAATTTTTCTGTGATCAGGTCAAGCTGTGTATAGTCAGGTGATGGGAGAGAGACCTCCATAATAATGTCTGTTATTAAAGTGAATAAGAATGGAGAGTGTGCAGCTTTGACCAACACCTCGAGGAGTGCACACTCCCAACTTTTCGAGGGCTCTAGGAAATGTCCTGAACTTGGTGCGTAACGGCTATCTAATGTTCACAAGATTTCAATGATTCTGCATGAGGAATAAAAGTTTAGAATAAATCTAATTTCCATAAATTTTTGGTCTATCTAACCTTAATTTATCATTTTGATGTACACTATTCGTCAAACATAACTGAATATAACACCTTGACTAATGTACAAAGTTAAACTCCTTGAAAATAAAACCAAATATATAGAATAAAGAAAGCAAGGAAATATTAGAAAAATAATTTTAAAAAACATCGGATGACATCCTCAAACTTAGAAATGTAAAAATTTGGCTGACGAAAAAAGTCAGATTGGCCTGAATGGTTTCTCACTACTCAAATTGTTTAATAGTAGTATTTTCAGCAAACGATACAGTTTTACCACATTAAAATATTCAAATAGATAAGATTAAGAGTGAATCGTACACCACTAGTGTCTTACTTCAGCTATTATACTGATCAGCATGTCTATTTACTTAGATGCAGTGATCATTTATCTATTTCAGGTGTATGATATATATATATATATATATATATATATATATATATATATAATTCCACAAAAGCTTTTCTTATACATGACTAATTTGAGTACTCAAGTGAGAGAAGATACTTCAAAGTATAATTATGCATCTTAGACTAGTGAAGCTAAGATTCTGAAGACTAGTAGACATGTATGAAACTCTAAGTTCTTTTTAACGAGAATCGATTATCCAACAAATCCGTTTGTAATGAACACAGTTGTATGTTCTTGAAGAATATAAATTACTTTCCTAGTAACTACGATCAGCCATGAAGACTAGATCCATCAGGGATTACTTTCCATTGACTTCAAGCACCTATGATTAAATTATTTACAAATTATTGGTGGTTGATAACCAATATAATTGTCAAAATCCAAGCAAGTACAAAGTCAATAGATCATTAACAAAGATGAGATCACACATTCTCAATGACATTCTGCATCATTACAGAACAATATGAATGGAGCACATGTCTCTCTGCATATCAAATCAATGGTAAAGAACTTTAGAGAATACTTTCACTTCATTATCTGATCACTATGAGATTCCTTATAATACAGTTTGTTGAATAAGACATGTGAAGGAAATGTATAATCTGTTCTCTTCATTACATTGTCACTCACTATCTCACTCCCC